CCCCACCCCGCGTCCTCCCCATCCTTCCCGCCATCCCCCTGTCCTCCCCCCATCCTTCCTGCCATTCCGCTGCCCTCGCCCGTCCTTCCCGCCATCCACCGTCCTCCCTTCGTCCTCCACGCTCTGTTCTCCCTCTATCCTCCTCATCCTTCCTCCCTGCCGCCTCCCAGCCGTTCCCCCCATCCGCCCCCAACCTTCCCGCCATCATCCCACCTCCGGCGCCCCTCCAACCTCCCCCATCCTCGATGCGCCGTCCTCCCTCCATCCTCCCTCGGTCCTCGCGCCGTCCTCCCCAGGAGCCGGCAGAGGGCGCCCAGATCCAGGCTTCTGGAGCAGCCCGTAGCGCGGCAGGGAGAAGCGCGGCGCAGTCTCCACTAGTCTCCACCACGGTCACTCCTAGACTTTCCCGACCCGCCGCGCCTGTTGCTGCTCTGAACTCCAGACCGCAGCCGCGTCGCCCTGCTGCTCCGCTCCCCACTTCCTGACCCGCGTCCCGCACGGCGGAGCTGAGACCCCGAAACGGCAGGTCTGCTTACCTCGAGCAGGCTGGTCTCTGGCGACAGTGCGGGCTGAAGTGGCGAGTTCGAGAAACTGCTCCGACGGGGGACCGGGCGGGCGGGGCGGGACGTAACACCCCGCCGCAGGGCCCTGCGCCCAGACAGAAGCGGCGCACCGTGTCTGGTCAGCGCGGGGTCTCCTCGGAGCGCCGGGTCTCGTCGGTGCCTAGTCGCTCAGCGCCCGGGGTTCTGCGTCCAGGGCTCTCCTCAACGCGCCAGTTTCTTCAGCGCGCGGGGACCTCAGGGTGTGGGATTTCCTCAGCTTGGGGTCCCCTCAGAGTGCAAGATCTACTCAGTGCGGGTCTCGGCCCCGCTCCGCACCCCGACAAGCCCGCCCTCGGGGAACGCCAGGCGCTCGCGGGGACAGCTCGGTCCGTGGGAGGCAACCCGCCGGCGGCGTGCGCTCTCTAGGCGCTGTCTCCGGACGCGCGCGGCGTCCCGAAGCCCGGATGCCTCCCCGGCGACGTTCGGCTGTGCCAGCTGAGACCGCTCGGCCTGAGTGAGGAGCGCGAGAAAGGCGACTGGAGCCGGCGGGCGGGGGCGGGGCGTGAAGGAGGGGGCGGGGCCTGGGCGGAGAATTGGGAAGGCCCGAGTGCAGAGCCTCGGCCCCGAGTTGGGGCGGGGCGCCTAGAGGTGGAGGGCGGGGTTGGGAGCCTGACCCTGTCCGAAGTCAAGGGCGTGGTCTATGGAGGAAGGAAGCTCAGGATTGGAGTGCCCAGCTCCCTGGCAGCAGCCGCGGGCTCCTGAAAGAGCCTGGCTGGAGTAGCGGACTTGTGGGAGCCTGACTGTCTGAAGCTGTCTGGCCTGGTGTTAAAACTTTTTGGCTATGGGAATAGAACAACTGTAAAAGATCTAAAGATGACAGGAAGGAGGAGTTGTGAGCTCAATTATAAATGATGGGAGAAGGGGGATCAAGGAGATGGATGTTGACTGTGGAAGGACAAGAATAATCAGGCACCCTTTGAGAAACAGGAGATGGAAATGGACAAAACCACCGCTTCTTTGGAAACCAGAGGCAAATTGGCTGTGATTGTTGTGATAGAGGAGCAAAAATATCAAAGTATCTAAGTTAGTATACTGGGAATAGCTTCAAGAGCACATACGTTCAAGTTCAGCAGAAAGCAAAATGGACTAGTCAGGTATACGGATATCATAGAACCATGAAACATACAGGAACCAGCAATCACAAAGACCTGCATGCAGGCAGCCCTTACTGTGGTTACTCTCACGTGTATATGTAATTCCAAGCTTGGAAATTCAGTTGAAGGCAGGCTGCGGTGTGATTCTTGTTGCACTCTCCTAGAACACTTCCACGGACATCAGATTACACTTGGATGTGGGCCAACCCACAGTTTGACCACCAGTATCACTTATCACAGTTAGCTTTCAAGCTTCACTGATGAATGCTCTATCCCTAGTCAGGGATTAGCAACACTTCAGTCCCTTTTAACCCTTAGTATCTGCTAAAATGGTGTGATGTCGCCATAAAATCCAAAAGATACTGAGTAGCTTGGATGACTTCCTGGTAAGAAGCAAAGATAAGAATACCACTTGCAGAGTTAATTTGAGATCATTTAATTATGGTCTCATAATGCTTACATTTTGCCTTAGTTGGAACTCTGCCCCAAACAAATGGCCAAAGTAACTTTTGCTTTGGCTCTTCAGTAATTGTGCGTATTCTTTTCCTTCCTCCCAGTGTCCACTACCCAATCACCGCCTTTTAGTAGCTGCATAATTTCCTGACTATTGAGTTCCTCTTATCCTGGTCTCAATTCAGACCTATACAATCCTCTTCAGTTTCCCAAGCCAAGCTATTTCTCCAGCGCTATATTCTTTGTATCTGCATTGGGTTCTTAGACTATTTTATGGTTACTGTCTCACCTGGCTCACTCCACTATTCTAGGTGAAACCCCATCAAGCCAGAAGTAGTAAGAACCTGTTTTCTTTCTTTAAATACTTTTCCTGATTTGAGAATTTCAGACAGTATTTTCATCAAGATGAGGTCTCTCCCCTCCATTCCCACCTAACTGCTTCCCTATTCTGTGCCCTCTGTTACTATTTTTTTTTAAGGTCTATCGGTTCTAATTTGTGTTTCCAACTTGCTCTTGGCTGTGGGTCTAACCTTTGGAGTCTGGTCAAACCACATGTGATACCCCAATAAGGAAAGTTGATTCTCTCCTCTTCTGGATGTACCAATTGCCAATAGATACTGAACTTGAATAAAGCTTGTCTCCTTTACTAAAACTCATTCCAAAAGAAGGGCCTCCTTGAAGATAAAACTCACAAGCAGTTGGATTGTCTCTGTATGGTACCTGGTGAGAGAACATCCATGGATTCCAGACTCTTTTATGGGAGAATAGAGTTAGGGGAAAGGGGCCGGTGACTTTAGTGATGACTCCATTTTATGGAGAGAGGAGCCAAGAAATATTTGCAAATGCATTGAATACAGCCCATTTCCCAGTACAAAATCTGTGGACAGGGCAATTCATTCTGTGGTTTCACAGTGCCCCAGTAACATTAGGGCTGAGTAAATCAGGAAAATAAGTAGTAGCAGAATATCAGAGAAGCATTGTAAGTTCCATTATATTTTCAGAATTCTTTGATTTATTCTTTTTGTTTTTAATGTGTGTTTTGCCTATATGCATGTAAAGACTGATGGGCTGATCCAAGTAGAGATATTCAGGTCTTTTGAATTCTAAGCCTTACATTGCATCTGAACTGAAGCTGTGGGGATGCAGCTAAACTTCCAGCATCTACTCAGGGTTGTGAAACGTGAGTGCATTTACATAAAACAGGAGTCACATTGGAACCATCCAAATCACTGGCAGAAATGTGTAGGTAAATAGCACTATTAAAAGTGCTTTTTTTTTTCCCTGTGAACTATAAATGGATAGCTCCAATTATTGCTCCTTCTACACATGAAGATGCTACAAAGTTAATTATAAATAATACATCTAATCATAGAAGGGATGAGCTATATTCTATGTTATTGTATATTAAAAATCTTTATGAGTGTGGCAAGAGACACATATACCAACAGCTGCTACATTCAAAATCCTGGAACAGTATCTTATTTTAATGAACGTGAAGAATAGTACAGCGTATTGCTCTTGGGATTTCTCTCGATAAAAGGCTCTTAAATCTACATGAGATTTTACACAGTGATTTCAAAATACAACAATCCATTTTCTTTATTTGCACATCCTTCAACCCACTGCCAACCACCCAACTTACAATAGGAACAGTGCTTTGCTAGAATAGATCATCCAGTACTTAACCTTGCTCTATCCCCATTTCCTCCCTCCCTTACTCCCTCCTTCCATTTCTTTCTCCTTTTTTCCTTCCTTCATTTCAATTTTTCCTTCCTTCTCCTTTCCCTCCCTCCCTAGCTCTTTCTGTCCCCCCTTCTGCCCTTTCATCCTCTGTCTCCCTCTCCTCACCCTCCCTCCCTCCTCTCTTCCCTCCCTTCCCCCCTTCCTGCCTTCCTTCATCTCTTCCATTTCTTTCCCTCCCTCTCTTCCCTCCCCATCCCCCTGCATTGCTTCCTCTCTCCCTCTCTCTACCCTTTCAACCTCTCCCTGCCATCTCTCCCTCCCTTCTTTCTTTCCTCAGTGTTTATTCCAAAGCTTTGAATTGAATGTATTTTGAAAGTTTAACCTATACTGCCATCTCCATTTTATTACGGAAGAGAAAAGGTTGTAAAAATCTAAAGTGGATTGCTAAATTCGTAAGGTCTTTTTCTCCGGTATTGAGATTCTTTTGTCCTGCATAACCTATAGTTGTACCTGTGATTGTGATGTGGGGTGACTTTATTCATTGATACCTATGGCTAGAAAGTCAGTCAAAATTTAAAGAGATTTTTGGAAAGTTTTTTTTTTTTTTTTAACCTAAGATAGGCTTATTCAAGTTCTAAGATTTAGAATGTGTGTTAAATACTACATAGTTTTGAAGATAAAATGCAAGCAATAAAACAAGCTAGCTACTGTATAAAACCCCCACACTGATTTTTTTTAAACCTCTATCATTCTGTTAGACTCTTAATAATTGGGCCCAAATATCCAAAAACTAAGTTATGTGCTTCAGCACAGAACCAGGTGCATACTTCCAATGCACAGGCTTATACAGCAGAAGCACTGGAATCTACGGATGGCTTGCTTTCCTCTTCTCAGCATTGACTTTCTAGTAAAGCTTTGTCTTTCGACCTCAGGTGCAGATATCTTGAACCACTTATGAGGGCCAGGCTATAGTAGATTGATTCATTAACAATATGAGAAGTGGTGTTGGCTCTTGAGTGTGACTGCATAGGAACAGATACCAAAAGTCAGCTCCAGATTTTATCACAGTCACTCAACAGTAATAGGCCAAAGCAAAACCATAGATTTAAAGAAGGGAGTAGCATCTTGAAGCATTCTCTAGCAATTTCTTTGACTAGGAGCATTTCAAAATGACAGAAATTTGATCTGCAGAATTACTAATGAAGATGTAGCTGTGAGTGTAGCTTGAATGTGTTTATCCAGCTGCACAAGAATGAGTGTGACAGCAACTGGATTCATAAAAACAAAGACACCAAAGCCAGATCTGAGCAAAGGGCTTTCCCTGTAAGCCAAATAAAGCTCGTGCATTTATAAGTGAAAAAATGTGTGACCATTATATTTGTTTACATGCAATTTTGATTTTTCTATGAGAGAAAAGTTTATTGAAAGCTGAAAATGGATCACAAGATGGTTTTCCAGGTTTCTTCCACTCTCTGTCTTCTCTATTTTACCCGCACACATACATCTACACCTGTGGTTCCTATGTGGGGCAATTTTGCCCCCTTTCCCATGCCCCAGGGTACATTTAACAACATGTAGAGAATTTTTTATTATTAGGACTGATGTGCTACAGAAATGATGCTTCTGGTGATTGTTGGATACTGACCAGATACCTGTTAAAAATTTACAATGAACAAAAGAGTTTTCCACCCTCAATAACAAAACATTAGCTAGCTCAGAATGTCAACACTACCAACTTTGATAACTGGACTCCAGACTCTAAAAACTGATGATGTGGGATTACAAATCCATATATTGCTTCTGGCTTTTATATGGATTCTGTGGATGTGGGGTAAAAGCATTGTCTGCTGAACCATCTTCTAGGCTACTAAAGGACAGTCTTAAGAGATGGAACCTTTGGGATAGTGGTTAAAGCACAAGAGTTCTATCTTCCTGAATGGGACTGGTTTTCTTATGCAAAAATGTAAAAGGAACTCAACTAGTCCATTTCCCCTTCTATCTGTTTTCTCTTTCTCTATTTAGCGTATCTATGTGAAAATAATTTATATTGGACAATTGATAGGGAATGTAATGCAGGTTTACTTTTCCCAGGTCCGCAGACTGGGATGTCCAAGATGAAGGCACCAATAGGTCAGGTCCTGGTCTTTCTACTTGAAGGATGTTACCTCAACATTCCACACATTTCACATCTAGAGGATGATGAGGAATAGTATGTCCACACCTGAAAGTTAAGACAACTCCTTTTTTTTTT